TCACAGGAGGGTCTGACAAGTTCCAGAGCCAGTGTTGAAGGATGGATGTGACTGGGAGCAGAGGAGGGAGGGAGGAATAAATGGCAAGGGGGTAGCAGGGAGAAAGACCTCTCTTCTTTTCATTGTCAGCCATCTATTTTGCTGCCTGTCAGGCTGCACATGTAGTCTTCTGAGGACCTGGAAACATATTCTTTGTCCCCTGTTGTAACATCAGTTGCATCAAAACTCCATTTTTCAACGAGGCTTTACCATGTGCCTGTAACACAAATACTGACACCTTGATGCAGATGAGAACTCCCCAGGACAAAAATAAATCTAAATTTAGGTTAAACAGGCACTCCCTATGTTTGATTTATGTAGGCTAGGCCAGAGTTTACCAGACTAAACCCTTTCCAGACTAATTCTATCTCGGAAAGAGCAGGCTGTACAACTGTGGTGATTCTCTGTTGTGAGGAAATAAATAAAAAAGCAAAGCAACCCAACACTTGATGCCTCATAGTACTTGTGCTCCTCTCTCCATGTCAGTGTTAGGGCTTCATTCTGCTTTAGCAGATGCCTGCACCACTGAGTACAGCTGCGTGTAGTACAGCATGTGTAAGTGGGCAGCAGAGACTAAATGCCAGACTCCACACTCTGGCATGTAACTACAGCACAATCCTCGTCATGTATCGGTCCTTGTCTGTATTTCAGGTTGGTAGGGAATTGTGTAGAAGTGTAGGATTGCCTACCAAGTTCAGTTTACCATAAGGAGAGATGCAGTACTTGATTCCATAATATCGTTGTCTTAAGTGTTTGAAAGGGCTGTATGTGAACTGCTTCAAGAGGCTGTCGGAGGAAAACTTCATGGTTGCTTCTCTGGCTTCTGCACCCTTCTGGGGTAGCTTTTTCAGGAAGAAGTAGAAATATTTAGAGAGGTTAAAAAAAGGAAACTTCAAGAATGTTTGTATTTATTTTGTATTGGTGGGGAACGTACATACTTCTGAACATTCGGTTTGTGTAGGTGAGAGTGGAGTTTTTGTGGACTTAGATTCTAGTTCCTGCTACTGGAGCAAGGATTATGTTAGGTTCTCTGGCTTTGTACAGAAGGTCTTATGTAAACAAGTATGTTGAGAAAGGAGAAGTCTGTCTTTTCCTTCTGGGAGAAATGCCTGTAAACATATGAAGTATACTGTGGGAAGTTGTCCTTGTAGTTCCCTGGCTGGTGATGTGGTAGTGTTTTGTCTCCCCAGTGATATACTAGTGAGGTTGGTCAATGACCATGAACTGTCACTATCTATAGTCTGTTTGGGCCCTCCCTGAAAAAAATCATGCTTCAACTCAATAGCCATGCTTAGGCTTGAATTGATGACCTTGTTTGAAAGCCTTGGATTTAAAGACAAACCTGTACAATCACGCAGTTTTAATGTTTAATAACTAGTTCAGGCAGAACTTCCAAGTCAACCTGTTGGTATCTTTATATCCTTGGATATTACAGCTACTGTCGGTGATGGTCAGGATTTTGTAAATAGTAGAAATAGTCTGAGAATTTCAATGTTATGAAGTGCAAGGTCAAACGGACTAATTTAATCGGTTACAAAACTGTCTATTGTGGAAATGACCAGAGGCAATGAATATCCTTAGAAAGAGTCATAGTTAAAGTGGCTGATAATTTACAATAATTATTCTGGTGTTGAATGGATGCTTTTTGTCTCTAGGATTTCCTACCATCATATCCCATTAAGAATCAGCTTTCTGTAGCTGCCTAAAGCCTGATTACTACCTTGCTGAGGACCTCGGATCAACTGATGACCAGCCAACCAAGAATGTAACAGCAGATGTAAAGAATTTCCTGTATCATCCTTCTGCCGAGCAGCCTCTAGGAAATAAAGTTGAGGCGATCGATTATGCTGGATCAGGCAGCATGTAGATCACTTTCTGGGGTGGGGTTTAATGTAGGCATTGTAACACTTGTCCAAATAAGATTAAATGTCTTTGCTCCTGTTTAAGACTTCCTTGTGGTTTGCCCGTCCCCAGCCCTCCATGCCTCCTGCTTTATCCCTGAAGTGTCTTTCCCAACAACACGCAGCAATTCAGTGACAGCCTGGTAATAGAATTAGGGCTTAATTTTAATCCTCCCCCTGCCCCCCATTCCACTTCAAAATATAGCCTGTCAACAGGGTTATTTCACTGAGGCCTCCACTGTCTGCTTGGAACCTGTTCTATGGTCCTTATGGTATTTGGGGTATTTGAAGAGAAACGGTTATGTTGAACTTCAGACCTATAGTGTAAATCTTGGTAGATGTTAAATTAAAACTGGCTTAAAAATCATACCATGGGTTGTTAACTACTAAAGGTGGAACTCTGATGTTGATGCAGTTATGGTGGCACGGTTTAGTCGATTCACAGAACTGGAATAAACCGTGGCAGTGCGGTTTTATCATGGCATATGGTTGTCAAGCTTCTGTTGTGCTGGAAAGGATGTTTAAAGACAAGGCTAAAGAATGTTGTCTGACAAACAGATTTTCCCAAAAAATCACTTGATGGTTCCCATGTTACCTCTCATGACGCTCCCATGATGAATGTGTGATGTGTCAAGCAGGGATTGAGTGCATGGAGCCAAGTAGTGCTGGTAGAACAGAACTGACTTTCCTGTACCTTATTTATTGCCATGCTTGCACATAATTTTCACCTCTTGCACAGGTCTTATTTCATGAATCTTTTTATACGTGTGGAAAATGGATGTATGCGTAGAAGAACATACTTTCTTTGGTCTTGCTTTGAATGGTATGAGTAACAAACCAGATTAATGGGCAGGTTTTTCATTTGAGAAATCCTGTCTAATTGAGATAGATCAGATTGCTGATGAAATGGGCTGGTGATGCATGGCAAGAGAGATAGGATCTCTAAAGTCTAACTGAAAGGGGCTAATGCAGGGGTTTCTTTGATATTCTAAGGAAGGTAATAAGTGATTTGATAATTTTGTCTTCTTACTTGCTTTTAACCTTGGGCCTTTACTCTGGTTTAACCACGTTAGGAGTGTATGGATGCTGTCTGCTGGTTTTTGAAACTTGGTAAATTTTGGTTGATACTTTGTGTTATCGAGTATCAACTAAATACAGTGTGTTAGCTGAGTCCCGCTGCTGGGCTGTTGTGACTTGGGAGTATAGTTAAGTTTGGTGAGGAAAAATAAGAACAGGCTTGAGTCCTGTTTGAGTCTGGCTGTCAGCTTGGGGCCAAAAGACACCATCCTCCCTGTGTGGGTTCCTTAAATTAGGCTTTTTAGATTTTATCCTCGGCATGTCACTGTTATTGCCTTGTTGCTATGATACAACACTTACTCATGCAATCTGCTGTCGAATATTAGAGGATCCGAGCTGAGATGTTATGTAACTTACAACTGTTTTTACAGCTGATGTTCGTTACTTTGCAGAGCGTAACGATTCATGTCTTTTGTGGTTATCGGAGCAAAATAAGCATCCTGCAAGATTTCTGTTTGAAAGAAAAAATGGTGAAAACTGCAGATTTAACATTCAAAAGTATGAATTGTTCTTTATGAGGGAGTACTAATTGCTAGCTCTTTTCCAAAAGCTCACTGAAGTTGTTATGCTCAGTTAATAGGATCGTAACTGTCAGATGGGGAAAGGGAATACAATACAACGTCCTGGTGTTTGAACTTTCAGGACAGAGCGAGCAGTTGGGATTACAGTGGAGGCGTTTTAGTCCATTTCAGCAATTACTTTTTGCTTGTGGAAATGAAAGAATTCTATCAGGTAATTACTAAATATTACAACCACTGTTGTCTGTAGTTGTTCCAGCCACTAAATGGAAGTGTTTTGGTAAGAAGCTTGAGGACCTGGCATTATCTAAGAGTGTTTGAGTTGTTAAACTTAGAAATTTAAGATGAAGCTTAATTAGAATAATCTCACACTTCTCTTTTGTTTGAAGATCTTTTGATATGTTCAGATTTTAGTGAGATTTAAGGTTTTTCAATACTTGGTGTTACAAGGCAGCTGCTTTTTTCTTGTCATGATCATTTCATTAAGATGAAACAGTAGTGCTAATATCAGTACAGCAGTGAATGAATGAAGCCAAGGGATCAGTAGTTTGGCTGTAGACAGGTTTTGTTTGTTTGTTAAAACCATGGCTGCTTTTGTTGTGATCATGCAACTCTTCAAACAGTTACAATATTTTAAGGATTAAGTGTTAAATTTTTGAAGTATACTGTACTTAAGCCATCTTTTTTAGAGCTAATGTGAAATACTAATGGAGGAATTTTGCTTATCAGCTTATAGAGAAACTGCACTCTAAAATGAAAATGCCAAGTCACAGCCAAACATGCTGTCTTAATAGGCCAAAAAAGCTGGGAAACATTACATGATTAAGTTTGTAATAAATTATTTAGACCCAAGCATGAAAGTTCAGGATTAATCCTTTTGAAATACTGGAGTTGATTCGTAAGAGAAGCACTCATCACATGGTGTCAAAAGTATGTGAAGTATTTTGCACTGGGGTAAAAAGACAAGGTTCCTTCAAAGCAGATTTTACAGTTTTTAAGCAGGTTACATAATAAAGATTAGGGAGCAGAATGAGACAAATCGGATGAATGAAAGGTTAGTATGATGCACTGCTGCTGTGTATGACTCTTGGTGAGTGAGAGTTGGTGCTTATTACTGTCTGTGTTTCAAATAAAGTCAATTCAGGAACTCGTTTTCTGTAAAGGTATTTACTGCCGTATGTTTCATACAAGAAATAACGGATAAACATAAGTTGTGGATGGTGGGTCTCTCATTCTAACGCACTTAACAGTGCATACCTAACAATAATGCATAAATACAATAAATATAAGGAAATACAAACCAGTTACTTCAGTTTTGACAGTACTGGCTATTAATTTGCTGCCTGTAGAGCATACTCTCTTCCCCATAAAAACGATAACGATGCAAATTTTAGCCAACAAAATAGAAATCCTCAGTTTGCTTCTACAGACTTTAAGTGTTGGTTTGGTCTTTCTTCTTTTACAGATGCCACCTTTAATGAACAGCAAGATCTTTTTTGTCAGAAGTTGCAACAGTGTTGTGTACTCTTTGACTTCATGGACTCTGTTTCAGACCTGAAAAGCAAAGAAATTAAGAGAGCAACACTGAATGAACTGGTTGAGTATGTTTCAACAAATCGTGGAGTGATTGTTGAATCAGCTTATGCTGACATAGTGAAAATGGTAAGTAGAATGCTGTTATGTTTTGAATTTTAGTGAAATATCTCAAGTGGTTCATGACTCTGTTGGTGTCTAACTGAGAATTGCTGTTGGTTATTCTGCTTATACAATGTAATGTAATTCATTAATGTGAACTTGGCTTTACAAAATTCTTTAGGAAAGCTTGTAAAAACAAGCAACTTATAAGTTTTAATTATTAGCTGAAATATGATGCATTCCCATTAATTAAAACAAAAGAAGGGTATATTGCAGAAATGGCAGCTTGGAGTCTGGGTAAGCTTTGAAGTTCTCATTCAGAAAACGGCAATGTTTCAGTGCTGCCCATCTCTCTTTAGGGATGGCAGTGGAATGACAGGCTAAAGCTTTCCAGTAAAGCTACTTGCAGGTACTAGTGTCAACAGAAAGGTGTAAGAAAGCAACTCTGCTTTGTAAATACTTTGTAAGGCTGTTTGCTATTGTTTTGGCCTTGGAGAGCTGTGCTAGAGTAGTCCAAGTAGTTTACTCGTAAACCACAGGATGACTTGTACCGTGCAATTTCTAGAAATGGCCTGTTGAATAAGCAACCAAATATTTGTGGTCGTTATCTGCTGACTTTCTTAGGCTTTTATACGTATTTTCAAAAGCACTGTAACTGATGTTTGAGATGCCTGTACTCCATGTACAGGGAATGCAACCCAAGGACATTTGACAATAATCTGCAATATTTTAAAATTGCTTTTTCTAGAAATATGAAATGTAAAAGGAATGCTGTTTAGTGTCTGTGTTTAGGTTCTCTGAACTCTGGTTAAGTTTAAGTAGGCACAGTGCTGACTTCCAAAGTAGCTACTGGGAGTATAAGCAGACCAGTTCAAATACAGCCTATGACTTCTGTGGTTTTCTATACAGTTCAAGCTATTTTTTCTTAAGGTTTTCTTTATTTTGTCTCTTGGTGCGTTTTGGGTGGTTTGTGTGTGTGTTGTTTTTTCTGTGAGCAGCTGATATGGAAGATGGGATCTTTAATATAATTAAGTGTAGAAATTTTGCCATTATACTGAAGGGCCAGGATTATTGAAACACTTTTAATCATTTTGACTGTTTCACCAGATGCTTGTTATATTTTACAGAACATTTAGGACACTGGGCTGCATTGTATAGTTTTTGTTGTGTGGTATTTAAGGATCTGTGTTTCTGTCCTAAATGGTTTTTACACAAGAAATAAAGGACAGAATACGTCTACACAAGAAATAAAGGACAGAATACTTCTTTGGTGTGGTTTTTTTTTTTTGCTAATGGTGGCAGCAGGCCTGAATCCTAGCAGTATTTTCTTGCTCTGTGTGCCCTCTGTAGCCTCCTCTTAGAAGAAAGAGTTTACTAACTACCCTATCATACTTGCTGAAGGGAAATTTTCTTTTGTATTTAAGTTGTTTTCTTTTCTTGGAGATAAGGTGTTGCTGAGCTGTTCTTTTGAGGTTATTGTTGTTGTGCAAATGATTGGGCTGTGTGGATGCTTGTTTTTCCTTCAGTAACAAATTTCTCCTCTAAAATGACAGAAACCGAAGAAGGCCTGAAATGCTCAGTGAGAGCTTTCAGAGCTTGAGACAAAAGATCCCTCCAAGCCTGAACAGTATTCCTAGTCTCCCTGGCAACTGGCAGCAGCAAAGGTCTTTGCTGTGAATTAGGACGAAGTACCAGCTTTCAGAAAGAACTTTGGACGGGTCTCTCCCTCCAAGCAGCATGTGTGTCAGGCTCGAGGCCTCTCATTGTAGCAAATCTTCTATGAGGTTTAAAAAATATAATTTAAAAAATTTTTAGACTGTTCAGTGTTACTACATTAAAAGAAAAAGCATTCAAGTGTTTGCAGAGTTTGAAGGATAGTGGTTTGGGGATGAAAAAGTCGGAATCGGTCTTAATGTAAACCCAGCTATCATCTGGCTGGTAGTAAAGGAACAGCCAACAGAAATTCCCTCAGAAAAGCCAGAGTGGCATCAGTGGCGGGAGAGGAGGCAGTTTTTTTTCTAGGCCTGGGACACCCTTCTTCCAGCTTGCAGAGGAAGCAGCCCAGTTTCCCTGGAGGTACCCAAGTCTTGGGGAGGCAAAGTCAACAATCCCTCATAGATATCGAGAGGAAAATAAGTTGTTCCTGACCAGTGCTTAGGTGGGTCTGTGCAGGTGAGGAGGCTGCCTGGTATCCCTTCCCATCACACAGTCTCTGTTACCACGATGGCTGCTGGGCCGCCACCACACAGTACTGGCTTGGGAGGTTGACCCTGCTCTGCTTGGACGGATCCTGAGGGAGCACTGGTTGAAAGGACTCAATGACTGGTTGAAAGCCACTAAGGGTAGAACAAGTTCATAAAAAATAATCTGGTTAGGCAGATGCACAGGACACAATGGTTTTTGTTGCCCCAGGCAACCTGATTTTTCCTATAATTCCTTTGCCAAAGCCTTTGAATTAAAAACCGAGGAAGCTTTGCTTACAAGTGGTTTTGAAGCGGTAGCACAGTGGTCTGTGCACCTACCTCCTAGGTCATCTAAAACTACTAGTGTCTTCTCTGGGAATGCTCACTTGAAAGTACTCTGAAGCTAACAGCAAATTAGGGTTTAGCACTGTGAATATTTCAAGTTTTAAAACTCCCAGGGAAGTGAGAAAGCTCTAGCCTTGAGGTTTGGGAGCGCAACAGAAATGTCCAGTAACGGACATAAACAGTAACGGTTTACATGTTACTCCACCATCTCCTTGAGCCTGCCAACCTCCCCTCATATAAAAATCCCATGCAGATGAGCTTGTCCTAGTACCTCCCGTAAGCTGTGAATTCAGATTTTCAAAAAAAAGCAGGTATCCCTATCGGCACACCCAGAAGCTGGAGTTAAATCTAGTACTTCTCTAAAGGCTTAGCTCCTTGGGAAGCGTACAGGCAATAAGAGAATCTCTTCCCCCACCTCCCCTTTTTTTGCTTTAAAATCTAATTGCTGTGTGCTGATACACTAACTGGCACATTTTCAGATGTTGCTTTCACAAAAATTTGAGGTGTAATTTAGAAAGCTAATGCTGGGTTTCTCTGGAAACCTCTCCAGCTGTAAGAGCCTTGCATGATTTGTATTTCTCACATTGCAGTTTTGGGATAAGACCCTGCTTAGGAAGGAGAAGGGATGTTATAAGTAATGAGAGGATATCAAGAAGAACTTGCCCCTAGAAAAATCTCAGGGGTTTTAATCCAAGCCACATTTCTGATCAATGCTATCAGCAGGACCTGAAGCAGCAAATGAGATGGGAAGCAAAAGTGTTTTGAACATAATGAAGTAGATGAACCATTAATGTAGGGAGACAGGCTAGTGCATAAAAATGTTAGAGTTTATCCTAAGTTTCATATATCCTCAGCAGACTAGTAATGCTAGTGGAAGCACTGAATGCTGTGGAAACTATAAAATTAATTTCCTAAAGATCTGATTGAGAGGCTTGTGATTTGTTTTTGGTGCAGAAGTATAGTCAGTGGGTTGTACCTTTCTTTTGGACTTAAAATTTTTGCCTTCTGTGCTAAAGGGTTGACTGGTTCAGTTCAGGACGCATCTAGAAATAAAAGGATGCGTTTTCAAGAGGTGTTACCAGACGATTTGTAAGCAGAGGTAGGGAAGCCTCCATAGGGGACTGATTTGTATGCTGGATGTTTTCGTTGAATGCCTAGCAAGAGTACGCAGAACCAGGATTGCCATCTTGGTTTATGGGCTTGTTAAAAATTCACATTCTCTGACTCCCATTTCCTCTTCTGCCTTCCCCCCCCAGCCAGTTTCTCCTGTGCTTACAGTGTTAAAGGACACCTGTACTGTTTTGGGGTGGGCTTTTGTGCTGTGCAGCTAACTGGGAGATGCTGTAGTGCCCGTCCGTACAGGACACTGCAGCTGCTCTGGAGTAGAAGGCCAACAGCTTCCCCATGTGCCGACAGGAGACAGAATGAAGCGCACAGGAGGAAAGGAAAAGTCAGTTTATGCAACAGCTCTGTATGGTGTTTAATGAGGCAGCTGGTTCTTCTGTTGCAGAGCCAGCTGGGTGGCTTCAGGGTCTTTTAAAGTCCTTTTGCAAAGTTCTCCAAACACCTTGGAGGCTCTGTGGAAGCTGTGCCACTGAGAACTGTCAAACATTTTCTCCTGTGTTTGGTAGGCGTGGGTGGTTAGCAGCTGCTTGACACCAACTTGATCGAAAAGTCTGGGGAGTTTGAAAGATAAAGGAAAAGTTGGGCTAAATGTGTTCCTAAAAGAACAGTAGAAAATGCAGAAACAAAATGAACTTTGTGGTCTCTGTTGTTTGTGTTTAAGAGATTTAAAATCCAGTATGTCACAGCTGGCAGAAGAGATGATGTTTTTCTTCCGACACAGGGAAGATGATATCCAGACTTCTATATACCTCAAAAATTGCCAAAGAAATAATTTTAAAATTGTCTTTTTGAAATTGAGTTGCTATGACTCCATTGTACTTAAAGTAACTTGGTAGCTAATTTTCTCAGTGGGTGTGTGGTTTTCTTTCCCCAACTTACTGTGTGTTAAATCAAAAACTTACAATTGTCAGGTATTTCTGACTTCCTCAAACCTTGAAACATTTTGAAATTGTGAAAGGTGAAAAATTGTAAGCAGCTTTTAGTATTATATTCAGTTCTTTAGTTAAAAGTGAGAAATACCTAATTTTAGGTTTCTGAATTTCAAGTTGTTTTGGGGATTTTGTGCCTTACACGTGAAGAGAGCTCTGTTTAAATCGTGATTGGTTAGTCATACTGCATTTGTTGTCTTATATAAAACCTCAGCTCTGTGTCACATCCCTAACAATTGGCCTTTATAAGGGGAAACTGAAATTTCTGTAACTTTCATGGTTTCAGGGAAAATTTAAACATGACTCTGTCTAGCTATGAACTTGTAAAATGGTAAGATACTGTTTTCATTGGCCTGTTTCAGACTTTTGGCTGTTCGGCTTTAGCAGTTCTGTGGGGAAAAAGTGACTTATGTTAATCTTTTTTAAAGATGGTGTTATGTGTAATTTTAGGATAAAAGCACTACCTTGCCAAGTATGATCTGTGGAAGCATAAAAAGCAATAGAATTAAACTAATTTTTTTAACTCTTGCAGATTAGTTCTAATATTTTCAGAACACTTCCACCTAGTGATAATCCAGATTTTGATCCAGAAGAAGACGAACCAACTCTTGAAGCCTCATGGCCCCACATACAGGTATGCAGTTCCTTTATGTTCAAGCCTTCTTGTAAGGCAAGGCCTGTGAGTAGATACTTTCATCACCTTCTAGATAGAGAATGACTCAAATTGCTTTTTTTAATACAATTGAGTTTCTATACTTGGGAAGGAAGTGGTGCTTTTCTTAACACGTATAAATATGGCAGAATGTGAGTTGTCCAGTTGCTTAAATACCCTTTTTATTGGAGTGATTGCACTGTTAAAATGTGTATGTCTGAAATATGTGGCTATTGTTTGTGATTGTGTTCTTAAGAGGCTTGTTTTCTGAACTAGAACAGCTTTTTTGTGCGACTTCAATAAAACACAAGTGGATGTTAGCAGTTTGGTTTATTGCGACAGTAACAAAAAATGGAGTAATAGCCTTTATTTGTCTCTTAAGCAAGAAATAGATCTCTCCTCGTTCTTCCCACTCTTCCCTCCCTTCGTGCAAAACCTTTACAATATAGGCGTTGTTGTTTGGTGACAGTTGGTTAGTTATTCTATTGTTGCACTCCTGTGCCAATCTCGTGATTTTTTTTTTTTACAGCATTGCTGTATCAATCACATGATTGACTTGCAATACTGCTAATTCTTTTGTTTGTTTTCAACTCACTGTTACAGGTTAAACAAACCTAAATTGCTTGTAATCGTCCCAGTTCATAGCCTGGGTAGTTCAGGCAAGTAGTATTGGTTCAAGTCATGTAGCAACTCTGAGCACTGGGTAGGAGATGAATAGCTGCCCCACATCTGCCTCCCATTCTCTCCCCTCAGGAGAGTTAAAATGCTACTCTGTGCCTACAGTATTACAGTTCTAACCTATCAACAAATGCTCTTATTTAAAAACTGGACTCTAATATTGGCTGTAAAAAGTATGTCTTAGGGGTAGTATTTGAGACTTAAACCATGTAAGAAGCAGGTTATCACAAAAACAGGTCTGCAGGTTAAAGGCTGTGATAATTACCTTATGTGGCTGGGAGAAATAGCTGTAACTGAACTAGAGGAGAGGCTTGACTTTGTAGTGGTGGGAGGGTGCAAGGGCTGTGCAGATGTTTCTTCTATGCCGTAGCGGCGTCATCTGACTTCAAAATGCCCCTGTCTCTCAGGAGAGAAATCCGTAAACATTAGCTCAGTTTACTTTAGGCCATAAGTAAACTGTAGCTCTTCTTACAGGAAAAAAGAGTTCCAGTTTCTCTCAGCCAAAGCCTAAAGCACAAGTGAACTGGTCACAGAAACCAGAAGAGGTTCGTAGCCCATGGCAGTATTTGAAATCACATTTTTAGCTTTTTTCTTTGCCTTTTGCCAAATGAGTTTTGGCAAGGCTGTCTGATCACCGATTGTGGATTCCCTTCTGCATCCATTGTTCATCCTGTCCTTGGAGTAGATCGCTCATTGTGGTACAGTGGAAACAGTTTGTGTTTTCCTCTTTCTTTTACAGTTTACATGCTACTGGGTGGTAGAATCTGGAGTTTGATAACTTGCTAATTGCCCTCCAGGAGCATGGAGCTGCTGGAAGTGTCAAAGTTTGTGTATGGAGGAAGGGGGTGGGCACACCCATTCCACCCTCCCCCTAGCAAACCCCATTACTACTTACAGTGTAGTCTGAAGAACTGCTTGTGGGGGCGTGGATGTTTGGCTGGCTGTGCCTTGGGATTGCTCACTTACAGACAAATTGACCATTCTGTCCTGATCTGGCAGTCAGGTAGCCAGTTTTCTGGAAGGAAAAAGGAAATTAGAATCTCTTCCCTGCTTGAATCTGTTGGCATTTCTATATAAAGTGACATGATGGGTAACAGCTTGGTAAGTTACCAGTGTGCGTAGTCACAACAGGTGACCCTGGGCCTTCAGTAAAAGGCGTGTCACTTGAAACTCGATGGTTTGTAACGGCCAAACTGGGTTGAACTGGTTGGCATTAAAGCCACTGTGTATTCTGAAGCTTGGAGTTGCAGAGTTGCTGGAATTGGTACCTTAAAGCAGTAATACTCTAGTGGTCTCCACAAGAAAGAAGATTGGATCAGCAGCGTAATAGGAGTTACACTTCATAGCTCTCTGACCCAAGCAGACCTGCTTTGAGAACCAAAATTACCATATCTAGCCGTTATCCCCTGATTTAGTATTTCCAGTGGTAATGCTTCAGTTAAACTCAAGCAAGTTGAGCTTACCTGTCTCTTTCTGCCAGGAGCAGCCGATATCTGGGGCAATTCATCCTTGTGGTTGTGCCATTAAGTTTTCAGATGTTGGCATACAGGAGAGGGAGAGGCTGACTATCCCCAAATGGCCATTGCAGCTTGCTTCCTGAAATGGCTCGGATGAAGCTCCATGGATTTCTGAAGTCATTCAATGTGTTTTACCTCTGTCTTCTAGAACCGGTGGCACTAATTATCAGGAAGCTAGACAATTCTGTAAGCATCAGAACTGCATAAATGCTCCTTCAGTGCACAGAAATTCAATACAGCTCAAACTGGATTTTTGAGCACGAAATTTTCTTTCCCTGAATGCTTTTAAGAGCAGCAGCAACAGTCGTGGCTCTGGAGTTAGATGTGTTCATATGAGGCGTTCAGGTGGTTACCGATGCATGCTCTCCCGGGACGAGAAATGAGACTGGCAACTGATAAACTTGTCACGGTGTATTGAGAATCAATATTTTGACTTGTTCTGTTTTATAGATAATTTTTTAGGTGATACACCTTTTTATCCTAATTGACATTTAAAGTGGATCTTGGACAGCCTGTACCAAGATGTTACAGCATTGTTTTAAATTCGTTCTTCTGCTTGCTGTTTATCGCAATCCCCCTATGTCTTTATGGAAAGAAGCTGTAATTGTCCTTCCTCCCCCTGTCCTCTAGGAAAAACAAAACATGCCAATTCAGCCTTCACTTGTGAAGGATGCTCTATCCCATGATAATTCTAGTGGGTTCTTCTCTGTATCCTCTCAGGTTTGAATAAATTTCCTTGAGCATGTGCATCTCTATCTGTACTATCAATATCTTCCTGGAATATCCCAGGATTTCATCTGTCACTTCCATGGCTGCATTGTTTAGATGGTTAACCCTTTCTCAGCCTAAAGGCTTGCAAATGCTTAGAGTTTTTCTTGCATCCCTGACTTCACAGGATGAAACTCAAATATTTGCAGTCATTATTCCAGGCCTTCAGGGTCAGCTTGTCTCTTCTGATAACATGACATACTTTTTCCTTTTCCTGGTGGTAGATTCCAATATTTTCATCTAAAGCAGTTATCATGCATGACTAGTCTTTGTTGTGGTCACTGACAGAAATATTAAATATAGGAATTTATTACAGAAATACTTAATTCCAGAATTAATCCCTGTGAGGCTGCACTGATAACCTCCCTCCAGCCATCTGTTTCACATTTCAATACAAACCACTAATGTGTTTATCTAGTTTCCAGCTTGAAGATCAGTAGTATCACAGACTGATTTGGGTCAGAAGGGACCTTACAGACCATGTTGTTCCAACCCCCCTGCCATGGGCAGGGACACCTTCCACTAGACCAGGTTGCTCAAAGCCTCATCCAGCCTGGCCTTGAACACTTCCAGGGATGGGGCATCCACAGCTTCTCTGGGCAACCTGTTCCAGTGCCTCACCACCCTTGTCATAACATGGCTCTTCCTTTATGTCTAGTCTGAATCAGCCCTCTTGTAGTTTAAAACCATTACTCCTTGTGCTATCACAACAGGCCCTGCTAAAAAGTCTGTCTTATAAGCCACCTGGAAGATCTTCTCCAGGCTGAACAAGCCCAACTCTCTCAGCCTGTCCCCATAGCAGAGGTGCTCCAGCCCTCTGAGCATCTGCGTGGCCTCCTCTGGACTCGCTCCAACCAGTCTATATCCTTCTGATGTTGGGGGCTCCACAGCTGGATGCAGCACTCCAGGTGGGGTCTCACCAGAGCAGAGGGGCAGAATCCCCTCCCTCGACCTGCTGGCCACACTTCTCTGGATACAGCCCAGGATACGGTTGGCCTTCTGGGCTGCCAGCGCACACTGCTGGCTCATGTTCAGCTTTTCACCCACCAGTACCCCCAAGTCCTTCTCAGAGCTGCTCTTAATCCATTCTCCACCCAGCCTGTACTTGTGCTTGGGATTGCCCTGACCCAGGTGCAGGACCTTGCACTTGGCCTTGTTGAACGCCATGCGGTTCACATGGCCCCACTTCCCAAGCCTGTCCAGGTCCCTCTGGATGGCATCCTTTCCCTCAGGCATGTCATCAGCACCACACAGCTTGGTGTCATCAGCAAACTTGCTGAGGGTGCACTTGATCCCACGATGTCACTGATGAAGGGGTAAAACTGCTGTGGTTGATCTCCAAGGCAGAAGATGGACTGTGGTAATACTTAAAATCATACTATTGGATTGTCTATTACCAGGCTCTTAAAAATACTGTCTGATGTCATCTATTGTGCAGCTGTGTGCTACTGTGTGTGTGCGCAAGAAGTCAAATGGGGGCTGTACAGGGAAGCTTGGATGTTATACAGTTCTGTTACATGGAATCTGTATACACTTAAACGGCTGATACGAATAAGCCCTTGTTAGTCTGTCGGAGGGGAAGAGGGAGTGAGGGGGAACTCGTGTTCCTGAGCTTCTGCTTTGCAGATACAGCACACCCTCCTTGAGGCTGTGTGTAACAGTCATCTCAGATCTTCCAGGTAAAGAGCACTTATTGTCAGGCACTTATCTCCAGAGCTTCATAATTGTGGATTACCTGGGTGTTGGCGCTCAGTTTAATAAGTACTTGTGGTGGTGGTAGTTGAATTGCTTGCCTGTGCGCCTGACCACAGCTCTGCGTGGGTTTCCTTTACAAGGGCAGGGAGTGATGTCTCTACATACCTGAATTGCACTGTAGTAGGGTTACTGATGCGTTGTTCTTAACTCCACATTGGTTAAACATAAGCAGCCCTGAATGTGTCAGTGTAAGACGTCTTTCCTCTCAGGTCTGGCTTAGATGCCTCGTGTGTTATAAATCTGCCCTTGTTGTGGAAGTAGTGTCTTGGACTTCCGATGGACCCAAAATATGGGACTCGTTCTCCAGCTTCTTTGTGCCTCTCTGCTACCTCCAGCCCTCGCTAGCTCTGTCTCCTGTCTGATTTTCCATCTGTGGGTATGGTGGGGTCATGGTGAATGGGACTTGAACTCAACAGAAATACCATGCTACAAAACAGAAGGGATGTTACAGGACCCTCTGTGGATTTCCCTTTGGTTTGCCTTGAGTGTCCAAAGTATAGAAACCTCCTGCTAAGCCAAATTCTTAAGTTTCTGTGTATTCATTCAACTTTTTAATGTCGTCTTGTTTTTGGAGTTTGCAGCTGAAACTTAGTATCAGAAACACCTTCATCACTATGTGCCTCTAGAGCACTGAATGTTACCCTCAGTGTCGATAAGTGTTTAGGAACTTCTACGTAACAAGTTCTTTGTATAGTAGGAAATGTGAATATGTGATACATGGTTTTTGTCCAATAGCGATATTTTCAATAGATTATTTATTAAGGTTTGACTCTTCTGGGAATTAGTGTTCTTGATGCTTACTGTAACTCTTTCCATAAATTCGGGTAGAGGCTGTGATTAAGCAGCCATGTGTTAGGGTTTGGTTCCCTTTCGTACCTCCAGAGCATGTGAAGAGTCCTGCTGACTTGGTGGTGGTGGCGGGGCTGAGATCTGTGCTGCGGTGTGGTTCCTGACTTTGACGTTTTCTTTGCCGTGTTTGTAGCTGGTGTATGAATTTTTCCTGAGGTTTCTGGAGAGCCCGGATTTTCAGCCTAGCATTGCTAAGCGATACATTGACCAGAAGTTTGTACAGCAGGTAAGGAGAGAACTTTCTCACCCTCAGATTTGAAGGTCTCCCCTCAAGCTTATCAGATGACTGTACAGCTATGGAATCATAAATTGTTTAGGTTGGAAAAGACCTTAAAGGATCATCAAGTCCAGCCATAAAGCTAACACTGCCAAGTCCAGCCCTAATCCACGTGCCCAAGCACCACATCCACCCATCTTCAATACCTCCGGGGATGGAGAACGTAAAGCTTTCATGCTGACACAGGGTGAGATTTTAGTTGTCCCAACAGTGGCTTCTGCCAAACACTAAATAACTAGCGCATCGTACTGCAGGGGCTAGATTAAATCGGTGACTCCACAAACACTTCACTTCCAGGTATCAACTTGGTGCTTTGTGGTGCACGGTATTGGCTTTCATCATTTGTAACTCGCTTCCAGTCAAACCAACAGTGTGCTAATTACATTTTTTGAGTGCTTTTACATTTGTTTCCTAGACTTAGCATGGGAAAACATAGAGCAAACGTTTCCTGTAGAAAGTTCATGTACTTGCTGTGCACGCATGTGTTCCAGCATCTGAAGTTGTGACTCGGTAGTGTCATTCTCTTTGCTATCATGTCTTAACCACAGAAGGAGAAGCAGTGCCTCACTCTACAAAGTAACTACGAGCAAGAAAGCGAAGGGACGCTTCATATTAAATAACTTCTGAAGGAATTAGGCTGCAGAATACCCTACCAGCCTTTGTGCAAGGGTAGCTGAGTAGGGGTGTGTCACCATGCCACAACACGGGTTCGTTAAGGAGAAGCTTGGTGTCCGAGGAGCGAGCACTGGCAGGCCATCGCACTGCAGCAAAGGAAAAACCTGGGTGGACTGTTTCCCTCCCCTTCTTCAGCCACTGCATTCAATTTCCACTTGTGTGGTTGGACTGTGCTTGTTTATAGGGGGTTCCTTCTTTAGTTGATCTGCCTTTCACACAAAATCTAGGCCTAAAGCTGCTGCTGAACTATTGGCTGTGGGCATCCAATTTACTAATTGACTCGTGGCTCTCATGAGCCCTATCCTAGAGTTTCAGTTCCTGACACTTCACTTGATTTTCCTCTAGAGGTCTTTTCCATATCCTTGGGAGACTTCCTACAAGCAAGAAACGTGTGGAAGGTCTTGCTGGCTTATTGCAGCAATTAGGCTGCGTTAGTAGAGAATCACGTGTGTTATTTTGTGACCCCCTTCATATTAAATCGTTAATTGTGAAATTTCTTGTATGGGGATGCTTTTGCTTAACCACGACACGAGTAGCTTTTTGAGATGAGCAGTACAGGATTTTAATGAAGAAATTGTACATATCTGACACAGATTTGATTCATTCTGGTTCCTTAGAGCCCAAGTGTAAACCACTTACCTGAGGTTGGATAATCTCATTCCTACAATTTCATTTTTATCTTGATAGTGTAATAGCTGTTGGAGTAGCTTTGTCTGCTGTGTACAGACTTCTGAAGGGAATGAAGCTGCTGGGTTTGGGGGTGTTTTACATCAGCTTTAAAAAAAATTCATTTTGAAAACACACTATTGACATCCAATCAGAAGTTTCAGTTAAACTGATTGTAACTTTTCGAATGTGAACTTGTAAATTAAAGATAAAACTCAAGTTGGTTGTAACATAACACAATTTAAGTCTTTCAAAAGTAATACCTTTCCATTTAATTTCTGAAGCTGTTGGAGCTCTTTGATAGTGAAGACCCACGAGAACGTGATTTCCTAAAGACAGTTCTTCATCGAATTTATGGAAAATTCCTCGGTTTAAGAGCATTCATCAGGAAACAGATTAACAACATTTTCCTCAGGTAGGGCTGTGTGTGTGACTAGGTTTAGGAATACCTTATTGTGCCTTTGTGGTCCGTGTCTGCAGTGATTTAGTCTTGAAACAAGACCTGGTTTGGTCTGTGGTGTGGCTTTCCAATATGTGAAGCTTATCAAAGGTTAGTTCTCTGGAACCTGATCCTCTGTTTTGAATTTTGATGGCTGTCTCTGTAACAGGTTTATATACGAAACAGAGCACTTCAATGGTGTTGCTGAACTTCTTGAGATATTAGGAAGGTAAGTTTGACCTGACACAAATACAAAATGTTACCGTGGGTGTTTGCTTCAGCTTTCTTGCTTTGGGAAGGAGGCGGGAGGGGAGAGCATTGTGACAGTAACACGTGCTGAAGTGCAGTCTCTGATACAAGCTAATGCTGCCTGGGTTACCACACAAGTGTCGAACTGGGATACAGAGCGTAAATTATTCTTTTCCAGTGCAAGTTTCAAAGATGACTGGTGAAATATTTCTCAAGGGTCCTTGTTTGTCAGGGATATCTACTTTTGCTTATCTTATCTCTGACAGATGACTTGCTCTTTGATTCAGAAAACGAATGTTAACTTCTGCCCTCATGATGAATGAAATGCTTTCATCTTCAGCAGGCTGGCTTTCTTTAAACTCTGCACAGGAAAGCTGTGCAAGTGCTCGGGTCTTCTGCCCGCCTTGGGTTTTGGCGTTAGCTCACTGATTTCCTTTTTAACTTTGAGGTTCTTTGTGGCAGTATTTTACTGTTTTCCCAGAACTGTCACAGTAGAAAAATCCACTAATATTACTGGTCTAACTGAAAAGCTAAAGCTTGTGAAACTATTGTGGAACAAATGTTCACGAAAGCCGAGTGAAAGGGACATCGTTATTTTCTCAGATTTATCCAAACTAGGCGGTGGAGGTGTGACCTGACCCCTTCCTGAAGGGCTCTCATTTGAACTAGGGTTTATCAACTCTAAACCCAAGACTATCGAATCAACGAGACCACTTTCTAACCCCTTTGGGAGGGAAAGGTGGTTCGACCGCCTCCGCGTTGCACTTGGGCCGTTAACGCAGTCCAACGCGTGTGCTGTCCACTGTGTTCCTCTGCAAGCTGCTAACGGTGGTGGGCGAAACGGGTCGGCTCCTTGATGTCCCAGCTTCGCGGTGAGACTGCGGGTCCTACTGTAGAGGACTTGGAGGTCACACAAATACTTCAGGTCATGTGATGAGTAGTGCTGACGTGCACCGTGCGGTTCTCTGTTATGCCAACCAGTGTCGAAGCTGGCGTGACACCAGCCCGTTAGAGGGTGTCCGCATGTAGAGCCGCGTTACGGCTTCAGGACTGCCAGGTTTAGAAACTGAATCAGAAATGGGAGTGTCGCTTGAAATGTACAGAAATTGTTGACTTGCTAGGAAAAAATATTTTTTTAATAAAAATAAATCCTGCTTGTTCATGTTTTCAGTATTATCAATGGTTTTGCACTGCCACTGAAAGCGGAACACAAACAGTTCCTTATGAAAGTTCTGATTCCCATGCATACTGCAAAGGGATTAGCTTTGTTTCATGCACAGGTAAGCTTTTGCCAATTTTTTTAAGAGCGGTGGGGGTTTTTGTGTTTGCATTTGAGGCTAATGACACTTAAAGCAGTGTATGCTGTAGCATCAGTATTGCAACATATTTGCCAATTTAGTTGCTGCTTTTCAAAGACCTTACGGATGGTAGGTCGAAGTGTTAATTTTGAGATGTATTTAGCATATATTAAAAGGGAAAGCATGCAGCAGCAAGTCAGTTGTCAGCTGGAGTGGGAATCCTTGTTGCTTGCTGCTCTTGTCACACTTGAAGCTTCCTTTAATCCCAGAACCTCGCGTGTTACCGCTTCATTTACATAACTGAAATGCAGTGTACGAAGGAACCTTGAGTATGGCCAGGTACTTACTTCAGAAGTGCTTTTTTAGCTCTAAAACCACACCAATGATGGGAAGGTGGGGGGAAATGTTGGATGTAAATGGCAGGAGCGTATAGCAGCTCTCTGCATCAGCTCCAGATTACGTAGATCCGCGACATGCTGTCGGAATGCTGCGGTTCTTCGTTTGACTGCCGTTCTTACAGTTGGCACAGACGTTCAGCGCTTTGAGGAATAATGTAGATCCTTTCCAGACATGAAAACATTGATGCAAACTTGCAAGCAATTCTGCTGTGGCTGATTAAAAACTTGCTTTGTTAACTTAGCTCGCTACTCCAGCTACTTGCAGACTAAAGATAGGAGGAAATGAGCTCCTAATTAAAGTGAAATCATTATGACTGTGTAGTCTACAGACAGGATTAAGTCAAGAGCCCAGCTAATTCCAAATTCTCATATAAAGTTTTAATTAAATCAATTGTCTCTGGTTTATTGCCTTGCAATAGACTGCTCCATGGAACGAGTCGGTGATATGAAAGGGAGCAACCGCTTGCCAAAGGTGTTCTCACTGGCAGATCAGCACGGCAAGCTATCCTTTTTCCTAGGATACGCTAGATCTGGTTCATTGGTACTGGAAAGGGCCCTGCTAATTCAGCAGTGCTGTGTACCTGAGAGTAGCCTCTGGTTTGCTGACCAGGCTATTCATCTGCATCCCCCTAAGCCCCCAGTGCCACCTGTGGTTTCAGCACTCTGTTTCTGGTTCCACGTTATTCTGGAGGTGTAAACCAGCACAAAAGCAGCTTAGCAATCGGGAGCAGCCTGGTTGCGTTGTGGCTAGAGCACGAGTTGAGCCTGCCCTTCAAAGTTAAACGCTTAAAGCTCAATTAAGTTGGATTCTGTGCCTTTGAACAATAAAGCGTTATGGTACAATATATAGAATGGGATTTTGAGATGAGGGTGTGGTAGTTGTTATTTTTTTGGATCTACACATATAGATCCTTAGCTGAAGGTTAAAAGATGTAAATTAGACCTGTTGTTATGCCCCTGCTTTGAGAAGCCAGACGAAATAAAAAAGGCAGTGCTTGAATTCAAGCATTCTGAGAAGTGAAATGAACATGTAACACACATAAATAACTCTTGTCTTTTGTTACACTGTGAGATGAAAAATACTGTAACTTAAAATCAGCCTTAATGGAATCTTAAGGACTGGGATTACTTTAGTAATAGAATCGCTGTATGGCTTCCGTACTGGGCAGGGGTATGGCTGTTCTGTTACTTAACTATGTGCAAACTGAACAGTCAGTCATGTATATAATACCAAACCTCAGCCTGAGAAGCCCCCTTGACAGAAACTGCCCGAGCCTGGGAGAGCATGCTGGTGGCTTCCCCAGCTTCACGCACTCTTCCGCAGGCACTTGTTGTTGGCCGCTGCTGGGGACAGGACGCTCAGCGGGACAGATGCTGCCTGATCTCCTGTGGCCATGCAGCACATTAGAACTCACCTGTAACCCTGTCACTGAAGGCTGTGCTCAGTCAGCCCTCTCAGTGCTCCTCCTTTGACCAAAAGTATCGCCCCTCTCCCCTAGCGTAGATGTTGGGAGATGATACCTTTGCCATCTTAATACAGGAACTGATGCTGGATGTGGGATCTGAGTTAGGGAAAAGTCTGTAAAGCGTAAAAGCAGTTTCCTTCTAGGATGAAACAACACGAAGATTCTGGGTGTGCAGGAAGCTTGTGTAAGACAGCTGGCCTGTTGATCTCGCTGCTTCAACTGCTGTTCAGTTTGGAAGAACTTAAGTGGCTGCGTAGGGCTGGTTCAGGTTGCACCCTCCCCCGATCCCAAGTGCTTCCGTTGTCAGTTGTGATATTTAGTTACGCTGCAATGTGTCTGTTTAAACTAAATAATGGTGTGACTTGCATTCTAGCTCGCCTATTGTGTTGTACAGTTCCTGGAAAAGGATACAACCTTAACGGAGCCCGTAAGTGTTTCTCTGTTGAATGTTTTCCTGGTTTTTAATTTCAACTCAAATTTTGGGGTAACTTGTTAGCAGAGATAGCACTGCCATGCAGTTCTGTCTTGGTTAATGACCCGGAGGTGGGTTTTGGAGGGCGGGGGAGGGAAGAAATAGCTTAAAATGTATTAGAGTTGTTGAGAGAATGCTGGGTTTGGGCACACCATTTCTTCAGCTGTGGCCAGGACGGAGCACAGACTTACACAAAAGTTTGAACCGCTGAAATCATGCAAATTGCCTCATATGGGAGAGCAGCTACTCCCTCCTGGAAAGGACTAAAATGTCAGTGGGTTAGGTGCTGGTGGCTTGTGCCTAGCAGCTGCGTGAAGCTGAAATATTTTAGGGAATAAACAGTCCCAGAATAAAAGTTAGAAAGGGTGACAAGACTCTGGGTAGAGAGAAGGAGCTCTGAAACCCCAAATGGCACGTTTGTTGTCTCTTCAGTTACGGGGGTGCCTCGCTGCAGTTACCGTACAGGTGCTTTAGGCGCCGGTGGCTGCTGCCAGACTGACTCCCCCCAACACGTACTGACAGCCGGGTTTGCAGCGCCTCATGCGAGGCCTTTGGCAGTGCCCGTCAGGAAGGATGCTGGCTCAGGGCAGCACGGCAGCTCCTCGGGACACAGGCTGATGTCACAGCTAGAACACAAACTGGGCTTAGTCGGACAATCGGAAGCCTTTCCGTTAGGGGCGTGTGATATTTAAATACTTTATCCCTTTTTGTGACAGAAAAATGAGGAGCTTGTGCCAAATCTGAATTTTCCTATAAGGAAAAAGGATAAACAGCTTTGTGGAAACAATGTCTATCTTCACCGGTCTTTCAGCAGAAGCTTGTTTTCTGGGCAGCCAGCCAAATGCCGGTGTTCCTCATCCAGAGACAGGTTACGCTGTAGGTGGTGGAAGGTGGTCGACCTGACCGTCAATCAACTTGTCTGCTTGAGGTGTCATTCTTCCCCTCTGCTGCAGTGGTGCTGGCTACGCTGGCCATGAGCTTATTGTGGTGGATAGGGTGAGGAGAAAGGAGCTGTGAAAACATTATTCCTTAAGCCAGGCGATGGAAAAACCCAGGCATTTTGACAGTTAAGGTTGACACGGGAGTTTAAAACGTGTAGCACAACACACAAACCTGCGAGGCTGAGTGCAGTGACAACATGACAGAGTCAGAGCTCCCTGACAGGAACCTACGGAAGTGTAACGTGGGCTCCAAGCCCCAGCTGGGAAGTGAAGGCAGCAGGACTTCTGAAGCAGGAGTGCCGCGGTGCCGTGCTGGGGCTTTAGCCGGGCTGTGGTAGGTACAGGTCCCCACAAAGATGCTTTCAGACAGGAGGAGACACAACTCCCTGCAGAGTCGTTGCCTCCGCTTGCTTGGGTCACTGCTCTGAGTGTTGGAGAGCTGGCTTTACAAGGGAGTACAAGTAAGATGGTAGGAAGTGAGGCTTTAAGAAACTTTCCAAAATGCTTGGGAAGTGAGCATTGACATTTGGTGCAGCTGGGATAGCATTTGGAGGTGGTTTTGGCTGTCAGTCAGTCAGAACTCCATCAGAAGGCTGTCTGCACGGGTACCTTACTGTTGTTTTTCTGGCAGGAATTGTCACTTGGGATCGATCTAGGGGACGCTCAATCCGAGCTCTTGGAACTGTGGTAATCTGCCTTGGGTCAGTCCTGATGCTGACGGAGCTGACGAGGAGTTTGTTCCCTAACCCCGCTAGGCGCAGTGGCCTTTGCACCAGAGAGATGGGGCTAAGCGTGCAGCCCATGTACCCACGGGAAGCTCCCTAGCAGGTGTCTCCTGTCTGAGCCACTTTGTGGGAATCTTGTAGCTCACCACAAATGTGCACGTATGGCCTTTTTCACATGGAAGCATGGAAAAGCTGGAAACTGGTGTTTTCTCTGAGGAGCAAGGGGACAGGGGTGGTGGTGAGGCCTGCGCTGCTGTGCTGGCTTTACGCTTGGAATGTATTGTTTCTTTATAGAGTTGAGAACGTGGATCTCGGTAGCGAAGTATCTTCGACACCCGTAGGGGTGGTGGAAGCTGGGCTCTGCCAGCTCACTCGGTTGTAGGGCCGCGAACTCGTGCTCGGATTAAGGGGCGCAGTAGGTTCCCACCGCTGCTCTGGCAAATGCGCTCGTCTGAAACCCTTTGGCTTGCTCGTGTTGTGCTGGGGGAAGGGAAGGTGTGGGCCGAAGGAGCTGTGGTACCTGGGAATGTTTGGGTGTGTTCTTTAAAAACCCAGAATCTCAGGAGTATGGAACAGAATCATTCAGTGAGGAGCTAATGAACAGAAAAGGGCCCTGGGTGTGAAGAGCGTTTTTACTCAGACTGAGTTATGAGTCTGGAGAAACAAACGTGACTGATGCGAGTGACTCCCTGTGAGTGGAGAAGCGAGGGAGCGAAGGACTACCAGACAGGGAACTGCAGTGAAACGGGGCCGTTTGGAGAGGGGGCTCCTCGGTGGGCCCAGCAGCGGGGCTGTCGCCTGGATGGGTGAGCCATCCGGCTCCATCCGCAGGTGCCAGGGCCTGTATGGCAGAGGCCAGCGCTCCTGTGGTGTCCACATTTGCTTGGCATCAGTGGAAGCGACGTTCAGTGTCATAGTACCAGGATACACTAGTATCCTGGGATAAAGACTTGTGGGCACATCATCATGTTAATTTTTTCCCTGAAAAGTCGCTTTTGATAATGCGCGTAGCTGGGAGCAAAACTGCCAGCTGGGAAGCTGGGGGAGATCAACACAGCAAAAGCCAAACGGGGAAGGTGTTCAAATGGTGGAGTAAGTTGTACCGTTGGCTACGATCAGCGAGGTGCTGCTGTCATAAAAGCAGAGGTCTGTTCCTCAGAACTCAAGTTCCTTAGGGTCTGAGAATGCTGCTGCTCCCGAGACATTGCAGCCTCCTTTAGCCAGGGCTGATGTTGTCATTCAGGTGCCATGTCAGGTGTTTGTCTCGAGGAAGCAGGCCGTGTGCTCCCACCTGCCTCCTCCGGGTTGTGCTTCAGAACAGATTTCCCCGAAGGCTTGTTTTCCAGTTGTAAGAGTTTCCAGTGTAGATATGGGAATGCACGTTTCTCTGTAAATGCATGTACCTTTGTTAGTTTCCAGTCTTTAACGTGTCAAGCTGTAGGAATAAAAGGCAGCGGCGGAGGCCACGGCTGCCCTGTACAGCCCCGTTTACGCAGCTGGCATGTACCGCTCGCTCTTGGGCTTCGCGCCTCAATGCCAGGACAGCTGGTGCCCAAGGTGTGGATAAGTAGAAGACAAAATATCTTGGGAATCAGTTACAGGGGAGTTACCAAAGCATCACGAGATGAAGCTGTTGTCAGCATCCTGTCAGTCTGCGTACGTGCTGGGGTGGGACAGGAGCGTGATAATCAGGGACTTGTGACGTGATAAGGGTCTAAGTTATTCTGATAGCCTGAATGAGGCAAAGGAGACAGTGCTTATTGTCAGTGGAGCTACACTCAGCTGTACCTGGTTTTCATGGAAGCTCTGGATAAGGAAAAGGAAAAGCAAACTAGTACTTAATGTTATCAAATGTGTAATAGAAACACGTTCTGCTCTAACTTGTCTGTATTTTTAATCTAGGTAATCAGAGGACTGCTCAAATTCTGGCCAAAAACTTGCAGTCAGAAAGAGGTTGGTTTTGTCTCTTGTTCGTGTTGCGTGGCAGGATCATGTCCCTTCCCTCGGCTCTGCTTCTCCAGAGCTTGGCTCTCAGGGCTTCGGGAGGCGCCCGCCTCTGTCCGCACCTCAGTGCCACTGTGGTGTACGTCTGGCCTTGCTGGGGGTTACCGTTTTAAAGGCATGTGAAGAGCCGAGTTCTGATCGAGAGGTTGTACAGAGAAACTGTTTTCTGGGGTGGGAAGTATTTGGGTAGATAGGGGTGGGCTGGAGGTAGTTGCCTGCAGTGTGACGCAGGTGTAGTGCTTGAGACGGCCAGCAGGAGCCTGGTAAAGCAGAAAAGTAACTCTAAATGGTCTTGAAATCCATTTTTTTTCTGGTTTCTTCTATGTAGTTAAAATGAGTTTAAAAATCAGGAGTTGGGTTTATGCCATGTGATGTGCCCCCGCCAGCTCTCGAAAAGCGGGGTCCCTTAACACGGTCCCCATCTGTGTGAGTGGTGTTAAATGTTCCTGTGCCACCCACCTAGGGTTCTGCCGGCTGTAACTTAGAACGGGAATCGGCTGTTCGTCACCCCGAAAGCTGCTGTGGAGGTCTGGGATAATGGTAATCTCTGCAGCCCTGATTGAAGAAATAAAATGCTCCAGGGTTTTTTTTATGTGTAGGAAACCATATTCTGGAGCAGCAGTTCAGGGAAGTGCTTGGAGCAAGCGCCCAGGGGCAGAAACCCAGGAGGAGCTGTAAGGTGGTAGCTGAGAGCAATGACTGACTGCTTCCAGGTGGCAAAAAGGGTTGTAATTGTGTGGCAGGATTCCTGACTGACGTGCCAGCTGCAGTTAGTTTGTGGTTGCAGTGGTGATACAAAATTCCTGTGCTTTCTGATCTATTTCTTTTACATGAACAGGTAATGTTTTTAGGTGAAATTGAGGAAATCTTAGATGTAATAGAACCGACGCAATTCAAAAAAGTAGAAGAGCCTTTATTTAAGCAAATATCCAAGTGCGTGTCCAGTTCACATTTTCAGGTAAGGAAAAGTCTCAAAAAACCCCCAACCCCTTGTAGTGATTTCTCTCGTGACTGTTGACCCTGTAACTTTGTGTTTCAGGTTGCAGAAAGAGCTCTGTACTTCTGGAATAACGAATATATTCTTAGCCTGATCGAGGAGAACATTGATAAGATTCTACCGATTATGTTTGGCAGCCTATACAAGATCTCCAAAGAACACTGGAATCCGTAGGTCATGTTTAACTTTCTCTGTAGCTTACTCATGGTGCTCTCCGCTGTTTCAGGTCTGGGTCGTAAGCTCGTAAACGTGACTCCGTTTTCCCCTCAGTCGGATGAAATCAGTGCAGTTCAGGGTGCCGAGAGGGATGCGACTCGGCTCTGTTACGCTTTCGCTGTTCTGCACTGCTATGGCAGAGACCTGGAGTCTGGAAAAGAATGAGGGAATTTGAACAGTTGTCCTTGACCGTGTGTTAAAAATCTAAATTAATCCTCTTTAGACCAGAACAGTTCCCAAGGGATGCCTCCGCTGCATTTGTAGCTGTTGCTGCCCAGGAGGTGATAAGGGGGAAGCCGGTATTGGAGAAGAGCAGTGCCTACTGCTGAAGGATGGCAGGAGTGAGAAATGGGTGACGCCTTCGTTTTGTAGTCAGTGCCCCAGGTCAGACGTGTGTGAGCAGCAGCAGTTATGCTTAACAGTGAGGCCGGCTTGCATCCAGGTTGATGTGCAGGATGTGAGGCTTGTAGGGACAGAGGTCAGGGCTGGCAGGGGCCTCTGGCAGCTCCAGAGAGAGTCAGTGTCCCGTGCGAAGCCCTTAGAGGCTCTGAAACGAGTCTGAATTTATCCGGATGGCGTGTCCAGTTGAAAACATCTCAGCTGAGAATGAGTAGTTGTAAGCTTTTGGAGAACTAGTTCTTGGGACATTAGCAGTACCTGGGGCCTCAGCAGATTTGAAGGGTGTCCCTTTCCCTTGCTGCAGATGGAAGTTGCCCTTTGTGAAGGAAGCAAAAGGCACAGGATAACTATACCTTGAGCAGGAGGAAGTTTGGGGAAAGAAAGTGTAACCCTTTGGTTTCAGTCTGGTTTGAGGGCAGAGAAAGGCGCTTATGTTGGCGTAGCTGTGCGATACAGACCTAACTCCTCCCTCAAAACCAAGCTTTTCCCCTCAGAAAGGCAAAACCCCAAATAAGAAGCGTTTTCCTTCACACCACGTGAAAGGTGGTGTTCAGAAAAAGACGTGCAGGCAGGCTGCGGGCGAGCATTGGGCCTCCGAGAATAGCTGGGAGCCTTCCTATGCCCCAGGGGGCAGTGGGCCGAAGAGGCAACCCTGGTCCTTTGGTGCCTTCCTTAGCTTGCTCCTTCACTCGGCTCCACCTGGCAGCCTGCCTGCAGCCGGGGGCAGTCAGCGCTCCCCTCCTGCCAGGGGGCAGACGGGGATGAGGGCTTGCCCCCTTCTGAGCAGTATTAAACCCTGCACCTCTGGGGCCTCTGCTGCACTCTTGCCCACTGCTGAAGCTCTTGGCCGGGAGTCTCGTGTTTCTAGGCTCTCATCTTTCACTACTGTAATTTTATGAACTTGCTGTTCAACCCGGTTTATTAAAGGCTAAGGTAACGGACGGGCTTTGCAGCACAGCCACCGTACTAACAACGCTATCCTGTGCGATTACAGGAGGCAGGAATTTAACCCTAAAATAGCCATTTTGAAAAATAAACATGCATTTTTATTAACGTACAGACATAGTAAAGGATTTTTTCGGACACTCACTGACCTTACAGAAGTAGCTGAAGAAGCTCAGAGTTCAGCGAAGAAATGGAGCGCTTGTCTGCTGAAGTTCATTCTGTGCTGAGCAGTTCTCATGGGCGTGTTCCTTCTGTCCCCCAGAACGATCGTGGCGCTGGTGTACAACGTGCTGAAAACACTGATGGAGATGAACGGGAAGCTTTTCGACGAACTTACCAGCTCGTACAAGGCGGAAAGGCAAAGGTACCTGTTCTCTTCCGCAGGCTGTGCAGGGGTGCTGCTCACCGAGCGTGGAGCACCCGCGGGAGGGTGTCGGTGCTGTGGTGGGAGCTGAAGCCCATGGAGGTGCCAGGGAGGCCCCAGCCCCCCATCCTGCCCTGCTAAGGCTCCAGTCAGTAGTTGTGCCTTTCTCCTCCAAAGATGCCTAGTCCTTTAATTCACTGGCATGCAACAGCCCCCCCAGAGCTGCACCTGTCTGGGTACAGGCATGCTGCGGAGCTTTGTTGGAGCCAAGCTAGCCTTGCTGCTGCTGTCAGGGGACTGTGTCTCCAGGTTGCGCTTAAACCGCATCTGAAACTGATACTTGGCTCTTTCCTGCAGAGAGAAGAAGAAGGAGCTGGAACGTGAGGAGCTGTGGAGGAAGTTGGAGGAGCTGCAGCTGAAGAAGGCGATGGCGGAGAAGCAGCACAGCACCCACAGCGTGCTGAACGCGCACAACGCAAGTGCCAAATGAGAGACGAGCGCTGCACCTCGGCAGCCGTACTTTTTGTACCCTTTTGAATACAGACGGATTTGCAAGAGCAGCCTCATCGGAACGATGAACAGCCACTTTTTTTCCCTCTGGCAAATGTAAAGGTTTGAATTTAAGTACAGCAGTTAAGTGATGTCATTACCACAGCATATTGTAAATTTGTCTAATTACCGATATACTGTCACTTCCAATGTTTCATAGAACTGAATTATCATCCTTAATGAGTGAAATAATTACGGGAGTGGTGAGAATTATGACTTGAATTTTTGATTGTGTTGCACATAGGTGGTGTAGTTCGCTATGTACATCCTTCTTGTTTCGTATGTGCTCTTCACATCGCTGCGTACTTGGTTAAGGCGGCAGAAAAGGCTTCTAGTTGCGCTGTAGTTTCTCAAATAAAACCAGGGTACGTTACCAGCAACTTGGGATATTCGGCGTGTGCCCCTTGCAGCACGGGAAGGAACTTGGGTATGGTGCTGTCCTCGAACTCCTGACTGCATTCAGACTTGATCTCTAAAATGCTCGGGTTATGGGGAGGTGAAGCAGGGGGGGTCAGCTGGAACAGGTCGGGGTGGTGTGTGGGCCTGACCTGCTGCTTGGCGAGTGCTGCTGCCTCCTGGGCCTGGGCTGTGCAGGGATTTCCTCCTGCTGCAGCTGAGGATGGAGCTTCCTCTGGAGAGCCCATCAGGGGTACTCCCCATCCGCCTGGGACTCCCGGCAGAGTAGCGCAGGGCTCTGAGACTGCCTTGGCCCTTCCTGCTGTAGTCTGAGCATCCCCTGGACTGAAGAATGAGACCAAAACTGGGCTGATGATGACTGTTGTAGTAAGGAGGGAAGGATGTCAACAAACTGTTCCTTGTTTTATTTGTAGAAAGTGCAGTCTGTTTGTAGAGGTGGAAGGCTGACAGCAGAAGTCTTGTCTGTTCACTTGATCGAGTATTTGTCACATCTTCTATCAGCGTACCATTCCAATCTCTTCAACTGCAGTCGTGTGGAAAACTTTTGTAATGAGAGATCTTTTGGGGAACTGAGCAGCATTCAATAAAGTCTTTATGTTTGTATTTAGTGCTGCATATCCCATCTTTCTGTTTATGAAGACCGGGAGAAGTAGCAGGGCTTGTGCAGCCCACCTTGTACCTGCCTGGGTTTCCAAGTGGCCAAAGTGCGGGTGGGGGTGGGGTGGGCTGCTGGGCCCTCAGTGGTGGTGAGAGGGGTGGAGGGTTTCCGGGGGGAAAGTCACTGACTGCTCCTTCGCTTTTGCCTCTGCGCAGTCGTTTCACAGAGGAAACAGCAATAGTGCTGCCTGAAGGGACTGACGCTTCTCCCTAGCTCCCTCTGATCACATCCCACAAGCTGCTGCTCCCTCTGCCAGCTTCAGGTGAGCAGACTGCATGATCAGCTGGCCAGAGTTGGTTCTGCCAGGGCAGGGGCTGCCCAAAGTTTGGGGTGAAAAAATCCTTTTAAGTTCTTGTGATGCTGCTTAAAATCCAGAAGGTAAACACCCTGCAAGGGTGTGCCCTGCCTGTTCAGGAGGGAGATAGCTGCCAGGAGGTCACCTCAGTTTAGTGCTCAGTGCCCTTCTGCCGCTGAATAAAGCCCCCCAGTTAAGATACAAAAACGTTTTAACTGGTCCTGCAGTCTTCAAGGAGACAAATCCAGACAGAACAAATTAGACAAGCATTGGGCAATCTCTCACCTTGCAGCAATACAAAGAACAGATTACAGGGGTCTGTAACTGTTGGGACTTGTTCAAAAACTTACAACTGTGGAGAGCAAGCAATACAACGCAGCAGCTGTAAGAGGCCAGTGAGGGTGTAGCTGTCCAACACTTGCTGCTAGCATCACCCCTCCAAGCAGGTACATAACACCGAGGTTTCCTGCCTGGAATCAGGTGGCCAGCTCTAGTAACAATGCTTCCTTATAAACCAAAAGCCCTTGCTGCAGCTTATCTGGGGCTAAGCTGCCTTCCAACTGCCTTCTCTGCCCTCACCAGCCACAGGAACAAAAAAGCTGTGGGTGCTTGGGTACCTGATCACACTGCTGCTTCTGGCCATCCCTGTGAAATCCAGGAGGGAGCTGCTGCACTGCCCTTTGTTCAAGGAACACTGGGCTGGTTCTCTGAGAGCGAGGAGCTGGGAAAGTTGTCTCTGCCTTACCTGTAGAACGGCCCCTCAGCGGTGTGTTTAGGAGAGCAGAGGGCAGCCAGGGCAATGCTTTCCTATCTGCATGGGCTGTTACATAGCAAAATCAACATGTTAATTTTTCTGATGTGGATGGTTTCAGTGTGGGCTTTTCATTAGTTTTTTCCCCCCTGCCCTGAGTTTCCAGCCCATTCCCCCCCCAACCAGCACCTAGGGCTGAAGTAGCACTGAGGCAGTTTGCTTCAGTGCCCAGGTTCTGCTGCTCCCTGGGTTTACCTGCCCTCCCGCACAGTGCCAGCTCTACATCCCAGGCAGCCCCGCACCCGCCCTGCTGGCCTAGCCCCACGGCTGCGGGGCGCAGAAGGTCAGGGCTTGGTGCCTGCAGCCAAGCGCTTCCTTCCCAGAAACGTGGGCTCATTGGCTCGGACTGTACCGCTCAAGCACCAATGCAGGACCTGGGGAAGAGGCCAGAGCAGGAACTGCGAGTGATCCCCCCTCCTCCTGCCTTGACACAGGAAAACCCGTATGTAAGCTGCCCCCGTGCCTGCAGCCCATGCTGCTGGTTGGTTGTCTTACTTCAGTTGCTCCCCTGTTGAAGGCTGTGTTTGGCCAGTGCACTGCCCTGATTTGCTCTGGAAAGCAGCTGAAAGTAGTAAGTTTTGTTCCAAAATGCTGCCTTAGAAGGCAAAAGCAAGCATGAGGGTACTTACTGCCTCACTAATACTTCAGTAGTAGAGGACAGAAGCAGCAAAACATCACACTCCTTCCCTTGCCCCAACGCCGTCAGAGCAAACACAGGGTGTTGTACAGCTGCCCTGCAGCCTCCACAACGCTGAGTGAGGCTTCTGGGCTACTAAGGGACTTGTAAGGAAGAAAAGGACAGCAGCACAGTTAGTGAGCCTGCATCCTCCATACGGCAGGGAATCGCCCCGAGATGCCAGGCCCGTGAAAGACCATTTGTTTGCCACTTTATTAACAAAGACTGGGGGAAAGAGGGAAGAGCAACAGCCTGGGAGAGATTTTGGGGTCTACCTTCAGCTCAGCTGCCCAGGCAGCGAGTTGCTGGCATTTACTTTGAGTGGGATTGACCAGGGATCAGTTTTCAGGTTTTTACTGAATCTCCTTGCTGCAATACTCCTGCCTGGACGACCTCCTGTACAGGGTCAGCTGAAGCTGAGAGCAGGGAGTGTCAAAGACTGTACACACTATCTTAGTTGAAGTATTTTTTAATATTAAAGTCAATATACTTTAAATCACAGATAACAACAGAATTCCAGTGTCTTGTGTTCTAACACACTTCGGAGCGGGGAGGCCAGACTGTAGGGTTGGGTGCTTTGCCCTCCACCCCGCACAGGGCAGGAGGCAGCTGTGTGGCAGCAGCGGATGCAGACTGTGGCTCCTGCTCCAAAAAGCAGCCAAGCACTGACCGTTACTCGGGACTTAACCACTACCGTGCTGCCTGTCCGCCCATCAGTGAATCCTCCCCTCCCTTGGCCCCCCAGACGCTGAGGTAAGCTTGTTACGTTTGGAATAGAGAAGCACGAGTTGGTTAGACCTGTCCTAGCGTTAGCTCCTTTCTGAAGTTCAAAGGCCAGTTCACTAGGCTGTTCCTCCAGCCATCAGTCATTTTCCTGACGAAAACATACCTGGTTTGCGTTGTTAATGCCGGTTGGAGTTTATTCCAGTTACCTTTATCCCTTCTGCTACGACCAGTTATGACCAGGCAGCCTCAGGCTCAGCTTAGGTGGTTCAGCGCTTGGCTCCTCCTCTTCAGATGTCTCTTTCGGATTTTGATCATCCACTTAACGCTTAACTTGGCGAAGTCCGCTGCCTTAAACAGAGCCAAGAAGATGCCGCAGAGAAGAGCGATCATGTTCCAGGGATTTGCTGTGATTATCTGGAAGAGATTACAACAGTGTTATTCCTCTCACCTGACTCAGCATATGTTATACCTTGTCAGTAACAAACTGTTCCATTGTTCCAAGTGTTTTCTAGCACGATCCTTTACAGTAGAGGTGGGCTGTAGTGCTTTCTCCACCCATCTGCCGTACACCACGGCTTTTCCAATTCCTTCCATCAGGAATTAAAACGCCCTGTACCAGCTGTTAAATTCCTTTTAGGCTGTTTCAGGACAGAATTGTTTCAGACCCAAGATACAGGTAGGTTGCTGGCTTTAAGACTGTACATGAAGTGTGCTGTATTATTTAAAGATACACAGTAGAACCAAGCAGTCACATTGAAGATCTTCCGGAAGCCAAAGCTGAAAGAAGCAACTGCTGGAAAGCCTTGACAAGGCAACACTGCCATGATACAACAGCGGCAACTCTCTGCAGACCTACAGCAAGTAGCTGCTGTCCTGTGTTGAACTACATTTGGTTCAAGAGTAGTCAAGTTTACAACTCTCCTCACACTTCTAGGCACGAGGATGACTTCCAGGATCTGGGATGAAGCAAGCTGAGCCAGGCTTAGGCTCAGGCAGCCGTGAAGTAGTGCTTCGGGCTTACCTTGTCAACGCTGGCCTCTTCAGCGAGAGCAGCACCCCATTCACTAGATCGGGGCAGCTTTCAGCTCAAAGATGGCGGAGGAGCGAACCCCATCTGGGATGGGTTCTGTGCTGGAGGCAGGACTGTGCTCAAGGCCAAGGAAGTGGCTGCACTGAGGACGGTGCCTGGCCCCAGCACAGACACAACAGCCAAGGGGCTGCCTACCCCAGCCTGTCCCCCACGGGCGGCATTCACCCTCGCTTCGGGGCGAGAGAACGGGTTCTGTGCCTTCTGCTGGGGAGGACTTGGGTGGTCAGGTAGGGCCGCTTGCACGGCAAAGCTGTGAACAGACCGTCTG